CCCGGTCTACGGAGCCAGCTTAGTTCGTTCCCCATGAGGTTGGAGTATGATCAGTTTGATGCCGAAAGCCATTGGTCGCACTTTAACACAACTAACCCGGCCCACGCAGTACCTCAGAGACACCGGTTTTCAAAGGTATTGAGTTGTTTTTTGTCTTTAGGGCATAGTGACTATCTCCAGCCGTGAGGCAGTACTAGATGTACTATAGTGCCACTGTTCCTGACCTTTTCCGACAAACTATTGGCATACAGTTAGCATAGGTGCCTGGGTTTATGAGAATTGGATGAGGCTTTAGAATTCGTAGGACACCATCTTTAGCAATGCCACCTTTAGAAGAGACAGCTGGAGATAGGTAATCCCCAAATCGTGTTCTAGCAACGCATAAGATATGGCCAGATTTCCACTATTACACAGACACCCTCTGATTGCCAGTTTGCACTTTGATATTTCAAAAAGCATTTCGAGAGTAGTTGGAGACAAAGGGATACTTTGATGGCTTTCACCGTAGACTGACCTCATCTATAGAATGAAAACTCAATTAAAACAGACTGTTTTGGCTATTTTGTATCCAAGTAGAGTTGGTATCAAGTATAATGATATCTTTGTGACGATTTTGTGACGCTGTTACTGCCCTCTGATTATCCGCACAATAACTCTGTCTGCTACTGACCAATCACAGCTTATGCAGCTGTAAAGTTACATGGACCAACCAATGAAGCCATACTCTCAGTCCTGAAGTTTGAGAGAAGCACAACGAGATGGAAAAGCTTGGAGTAAAATCATACCTTCTGTAGGTGTAAAGACCATGCCAGAACAGGGGAACATGTTTAGAGGCGAGCACTCGTCAAACAGCAAAACAATAGGTTCGATGAAACCTAAATTCATCCATGAGTTCTCCATCTTCATTCATCGTCAACAATAAAATCAGAAAAAGGAAGAGGGGATACCCACAACGAACCACACTAGTTTTAAAGCTTTTCTGCTTATCGTTGTACATAGTACCACCAGTGAATGCATGAAAAACAGAGGACGCGAATAATGTTTATGAAGTCCAAGTCCATTCCCCTGGCCTATAATCTTTTAGAAGATTCAGACTATTTGAAGTCGAACGAAACCGCGACTGTTGGATGGCAGTATGCTTGCCGCTTTTCAAGCTCTGGGTGTATTGTAAAAGTATGACAGACGCAACCTCCACTACGGCCGAAAACTTCGAATTGCGTCTCACGTGCCAAAGTACTTCGTCAAATGAGGTTGGTTAAACTCAAATAGCACTAATCAAAATTAGTAGGTCGAATGAAACACATAGGTATTGTCGTTGGAAACATTCTATCTAGTGATCTAGATGCTGGTCTTTATCTTACATTATATTTCCAATATTATCTGTGATTGGCTTATTTACGGAAGGCCTTTTTGGTCCTGCTCTGCGTATTATCTAGAACAGCTTTCGTGTATTCCCAGTCGTACTGGCCTGTTCCATTTCTTGAACACTCTTGTCCCTCTGTGTCCACACACAGGATATATTTGAGCTGTCGTCTCATCGACTGAATAAAAGAAATGTAATCCGAACCTGAAGGGACAGAGTGCATTGCATTTAGGAGTGACAATGAGCGTTCTCAGATCGAATGGCATCCGGTTATTTACTCGGGAGCACCATAAGCAGGGTTTTCTGCGTCACGTTTGCCCTTGGTTACATCATGTTAGTTACGGACAATGTCCTTTCGGATGGCTGCTTGTAATAAATTGCACAACAGGCTCTAGTGTATTCCCATAACTTGACTAACGAAGCATCTCTACTGCTAACCAAGGGGCTCGTCTCTGACGGTCGCTGGGACTACTGATGAAAATAAATGAGAGCGTGATCTTGAACCTTGCCTTACTGCACAACCACAGCCACGCACCACTACGGTCCCTAATAACGCACTGATGATGTCACCTCGATTAGTGATGAAATGTTCGCAATCAAATTGCCCAGCTCAGCGAGAGTTATTATCCTACCTACCTATGTTTACAACCGCATTGGGGAATGGGAGAACGACTAATCGGCATAAAGAATACTACTTGAAATCCATGAGACTGGAACTTGTCCAGCAACGCAAGATGTCAATATGACGACGAGTCAAATTCATTATTGAACAGAAGAAGGCTGCCCCAGAAAAATTTTTTCTAGGTAGAGTGAAAAAAGGAGACAAAAATAATCACAACAAATCTTAGACAAAGAATCTCTGCAGTTGCCAGCTTACAGAAACAGGGCAAAATGTTCTCATCAACGGACTCAACGTCGATAGTATAGAAGAACACCAAAAACGCGAGCTTCAGCTGCAGTTCAGGTGAGTCTTCTGTGGAAACTAACTTAGTATGCAGATGAGTGTATTTTTCAACTGAACTTTAACTTTAAAGTTTGCATTGAACTAGATGAGAACGATCAGTTTGCCAAATAATTGTTCCGGGACTCTTTCACAGAACAGAATAGTCAACTTCTTATTCAACGGGGAAAGGAAGGCAGTAAACAAGTTGAACAAAGACGATGTCTTCGTAATTCTACAAGCTGACAAAGGATGCCTAGTCGAGATCATGGAAAACCCAACTACTTCAAAGAAACAGAACCTCACTCAACAACATAACTACGTATCACCTACCAGAGAATAATCGAAGTGAAACGCTTGAAAACAAAATCAACAAGGACCTGGAGGAACTCCATACCTCTGAAGGATTACAAAAGAGAAATATTGGGGAACGAGGGCCTATAACTTTGTAATTCCTGGCTTATCGAGGCTGCGCAAGCAGTAGTTTCGCTTTCGGAAACACTAACATACGGTTTCTTAAGAGAACTATGGGGAAAGATTAAATGTCTTATCACTAGACCCGAATACCCTATCAACAATGTCCGGCGATTCTTGAAGACACTGAAGGACCAATGCATCGATAACGCCAAAGCGCTGGTTCGGTATGATGCGACCTCACAATTTACATCCGTGTACCTCGATGCGACCAAGAGGACCGTCACGAAATTATTGGGTAACCTCAATTTACTCAACGGATCACTGGAGAAGTAGACACCTGCAAATTGAGTTATTTAAGCCTGACTACATATGTTGAATTCAACAGGGAATTTTGTGAGCAAGTACCAAGCATTCGCCACATAAATCGCTCCGTAAAAGCCAGAACGAATGGTACTACCAGATTTAATCCAAAAAATGTGGATCCAGTCCTCAGATGACAATTTTTCTCCATCAAAAATTAACCATTACTAAAAAACCTACAACTTTTTGAAGGCGTATCTACCCATACAACGACACGCTGTCAAGGACATGCAGTCGGACTCTCTTCAGGTGGATAAAGACACACCGCGACGTTGCAAAGTCTAAAAATAGAGAGAGAAATGCACTGATACAAGTTCTTTCAAATAAACGGACACTTTGGAAACTTCGTCTGGGGGTCACTTGGAAAACCGGCATGGCCAGCGCAACAACACTCGGGCAGAAAACGAGTCACACTTCCATTCATTGAGAACTTCACTGAAAAGACACTTTTGACAACATAGCACAACAGTGGCCTAAAATGCTTTAAACACCTTGCGGAGGATATTGCCAGAACGAAAAAGAAAATTGAATCCAACGGGGAAGAACAGTGCCATATACAAGATTCCAAGCAATAACTGCAACTAACACTAAACGGGGTAGACGGTGAGCCATCTTACCACCAGATGTCATGAACACCAGCTTACCGTTAAAAGGCCTGATTTTACACCGGTCGCCGTGTAAGAAGATCGGGAGGGACAGGATTTTGACTGGACTGTCGTATAACACCAAAGACAAGACAATATAAAGAGCGTGAAGTTATGGAAGCAAAGAACTCATTTAGAGACATGGTTAAAAAACATATTGAAAATGACCTAGTCTGCCAATTACTGATAATAAAAGAACGCTAGATTTCTGTAACTCTGAACTGCACACGAAACTGATTAAAAGCCGCATCTGAAAAGTCGTCAGTCGAACCGCCAGTCAACACGGGTGACCACCTCATGTGGAATCTGTGACTGAAGGATCAGTGGCACTATAGCCAAATGCAAACTTTACATTGGCGTCCAGTCACCTGAGACCGAACGGTTAATTATTCAGACCACCAGCCCGGAGGTTCGAAGCTCACGGGGATTTTGTGAGATGTGCACCACTAAAGATTCCGAATAAGGCTGAGGTTACTACGCACTGCTTTTCGGGTTTTCAGAAGACAGGAGAAACGTTACATTGACACTTACCAAATAACTTCACACCACCTACAGCAACATGTGGCCTGGTGGTGGGTCTCGCTCAGAATAATCCTTTGTTTGCTTCGCCCTAGTATAGCAGAAATTCCCACCAAAGATTTCGCCATCAAAAGGTGAGCAGAGTGAGTTTTTCTTAGAAGTGGTCGTTCTTGTAGATGAGGAAATAAAAATCTAAAGTGAGAACAGGAAAAAACATAAAAATAGGAAACAATTGTAGCGCTTCCACTTATTTTCGTCACATGCTTTGTAGAGTTGAACAAAAAGGCTTGCAGTTCATGCTTTTCAATCTACACGAAGACGAATTCACACCTAGAACGTAAGGGATCAGCCATAAAAAACTGGTGTTGATTTTAATTGGATTATGATTCGTAAGGTCGTCGGCGATATGAGCTCTGGGACCCAAGGGCAGCACTCAAATGACAGTATACTCCAAATTACTTAAATCAACCAAAACCTGGGCCTGAACGCGAAAGAGTAATTGGGTATATCTGGCAAATAGTTGTACAACCATGACTTTCGCCCTTTAGAGCAAAGTTCAGGAGTCGTCTCATGTCGTGCAACATGAATCCATGGGGTTATTCCATGATAAAGTATCTCAGAAAACTTGTTGCTTTTTTGGTGGAACTCCTGAACTTTTTGTCCCATGGATAATTTTTCTTGGTCTCATTGTGCATCCAATCACAAGAAAATGCTTGTGTGTAAAATAAAAGCACGTAGATTGAGGCGATATTTTCAGTTATCCCAATGTTTTTACTATCTCACAGGATGACCCAGATCACTCGCGAAAATCTGACAGAGAGGACAGCAATGAAACAGAACATCTCAATCACTATAGATGGATACGAAACTGGAGGAAAACCAGTTTGAACGTGGAATCAAACCAGAAGCGTTTGTTTTCCGGTGACTCGATCACAGGGACCAGATCAAAGAGGAGGACGACAGTGAGTGAACTGCAAGTCCACGAGCAGGTGGAAAAGGAAAACCAGGGCACAGTGTTGCAGAGAAGACAACTGAATGATAATAAAAGCCATGGCATAGTTGAAGCAAACAAGTCAAGTCAACGTCATGGTCTGCTAGAACTTCCAAATCAGAGATCAAGGACCAAAAGACATTCATCACTTACCAGTAAGCATGAAAGTTCGAGGGGTGAGTAACTTCCTTATCAGTGGTCCAACGGGACCCGAATATTACTCTTGATGCCTACGGACGGTCATAACCTTGAGCTAGAGGCAAGTCAGCTATTAAGTAAGGAGATTTTGACATAAACGCAACGCAACCGCCTAGGCCTGGACAATCAGGAACCATCCGAGTTCTGTCAACTCCATCGGGATGTACCACAGCATGAAAAGACCTTCACAACTAGACAGTTATTATCATCACCAATGAATAAAGAACCGACTGCTATTATAAAGTTGGTCGGTATAGGAAAGAGCCAATAATTTCACTCCTCTGGATATTCAGGGTTCTTCCAATTGCACATTAACTGCGTTGCGGTAACTAGTCTACCAAAGGTTGGTCTCATTCAGGCAGCCTTGGTAACTTTAGCACGCCAAGCTAAATCCTGATAATCTTTCATGGAAGTCTATGGAGCTACCCGTTAATATCATCATCGCTTAGTCAAAGCTTTTCCTTTACCATCTGGACTATAAGATGTCCTTGTAGGATTTTGGACCTCGCTTGAGACCGGGGAAGAATTTTGCCGTGACATTTCGTAGTTATTCACGTTCCTCGCCCTTCCAAAATTTCTTTCCAAACAACAAATTCTTCGAAAGATGGTGAGGGAGTTTAGGTTAAGAGATCTGAAAATCTTACTACCGTAAGAAATTTAAGAATATTGGTAATCCCACAGAGCGATGTCACAGGAACTTCGGCCTGCAGTAAAATCTACTTCAAACACTCTGTGAAGTTAGCTGGGAAATGATAGATCCTAGAGAAAATTTGCACAAACGTGTCGGCCGAAATGGTCGAATGAAATACGGACGTGAAATGAAAAGTTCTCATCGATAGATAACATTGTGCGGTGGTTCCTGTTCACATATATGCTCACTAGTCAGTTACTGGCTTGTGAGGTTTAGTCACACAATGCAAATGTTGGCTCAGTGCTCTGTCGATTTAATTCAGTGCCAATGAAAAACTGGTTGAGGGCAAGTGATTGGAGAACGATTGTCACATTCATGTAACAAGGGGCGGCAAAGCTAACAGTCATACAAGGTCGTCAACGCAAACTGTGAGGACGTATGGTTACAACACGCACACCAGCAAGCACTCAGCACTCAGCACTCAAAGGTCTGTAGTGGACATCAAGGCCAAACAAAACGTGCAGCACTTTTGTGGACCTATATTGCGAATTGACCGGCAAAACATTGGCTGGAAGTAACGTTGAACAGCATGAACTTTGTGGATGATACCACTGGTGAACTTTCCACCTCATCTAGAATTTAGATAAACTACAGAAAAGTACTCCAATTCGGTTGCTATGAAGTTAGAGAGAGTACATCCTCAGCACCATCAACCTGCATAGAATTCAAACAAAAACGGTCATCAGTACAAGTGTAGTCACGCCACGTGAAGTAGTTTTTTGGGGAGGGGCGCTGCACTCGGTTTCCAACATAGCATGTTCTATGGTCATTCCTCAGTACAGTTAGCAAAAGTATCATCCTTGTATAATATTATAGTGTTACGATAGAGATTTCATCCTATTAGTGAAGGCGATCTATGTTGAAGAGCCAAGAATCACTCCACAGCTGTTTCACACTTATTGGAAATCATCAGCAGGACGGAATATCCATTGAAAATCACCAAATCTTGTCACACCACCGTTATTTCATAAATGGCTTAGTGGAAGTGTAATTTCACAAGATGAGTGAAACTTCCAGCTGAAAAGTCACCACTCGAGGAGCCAGTCAACACATGTGGCCATGTGATCTGGAAGCCGTGACTGAAGGATGAGTGGTACCACATCCTGTCTACGTGCGATTTAGTCACCAAACCGATCTTCATTACCAGTGAGGATGAAACGGCCGTACAGTGCTTCCGGGCGCATCTTAGCGTACACGGACATCATTTATAGGGTGAAACTTCCATTTAAAAAAATCCCGAACGTCCTCATAGTTTGTGGTGTTAATAAGCCAGAGAAAGTAGGGAGCTTCTTCTCGAGACTTTCGGCTAGAGTCATTAGATCATTCCATTTTAGGAATGTTAGAACATTTCAGAAGAATACACCATTCTCAGCTCATCTGTGTTCCAGAAGGACGCGTTACCATCCATGAGAGGTTATTGTCGCTTTAACATATGTGAACTAACGGATCAGTTCGTAAGCATGAGTGCACACACTATTTTCGAAGTGTTATCCAGTCCATGTGCTTTGCTGTTTTACACAAACCATTTTTTTAGTAAAAGTGTTAATCGTCCCCTCTTCATCTGTTAATCCAGATGCATTCACTGAGTCACGTCGGTCTTCTAGTCAACAACAGGTAGATAACGTGCGAAAATTGAATGAGCTTAGCTTGTCCGATGAAATTCAGTCCGTAAAACACCACTGGCCTTTCAGAAGGCGGATACTCCCTGGAACCAAGAAAACCGAATCCTTTCAGAGTGACCCCAACCGACGACCATATGTAACTGAGAGCACACGCTTGATTGCCACAATGTTTCGCAATCCGATCTCCGCGCTTTTGGAAGAGCATGCAACACAGGAACTTTCGGCGGGAAAAAGCACTACTGTTGGTCAGTCAGAACCTGATGACACTAGTTATCAAAACTCCAGAATGACTGAAGTTCCATCTCCATATCTTGTCTGGTTGCCAGAATCACCAGTGGATCAATGCAGTCCGGACGAATACCACTGGAATCATGCTGTGGTAAGGGACTTGAGAAGAATTTTCCACAAAAATTTCGTAAAACCAGATTCGGCTCAGAGACTTACATTTCTGGAGCAATTATAGGCCCACCATCTTTAGCGAATGCTTTCAAATGTGCATCGTTCCAAAAAATACTGCAAAATAAACGTTATACTAAACCCTCTCTTCCAGATATATCGGTACCTTTTTACCCGAGATATGGAGCGAACATCCCTCTTCAACCCGGAATTCCTGAAGCAGAACTCACTCACAGAAGACATTCGAGCCACTTTATGTGACTGGATGATCAAGGTAAGAGCAAGTCGTCCGAAATGAATACGTGAGCATTACTTAATAGAGAGAATGTTAGCACCTCAGGCTGCCCATCTCATCCAGGAAATAATCTTTTAGTTTGGCTACTCATGAGTAGACGAAAGACAGTGGAGGCCAACCTCCGTGTTCCTAACGTATCATGTGGAACGGGGAACGTCACCACTATTTACCATTCGTCTGAATGAATCAGACAGTTCATAGCAGTACTGCACACGAATGATTTTCAAAACAACACAACAACTAGTCTGAAATTGACGACAATCAACAACGGAACAGACCGAGATTGGGTGGGAAGAAATCCCTGCAATAATTCGCAACCATTCTTGCTAAAATATTGTGCCTGTTTGACGTCCTGGCAATGATCTGCATTGAAAGTATCTTGGTATTACTTTTTTGACTGCATTAATAGTAAAGTCCATCCTCCACACAGGATCCAAAGGACAACATGTTACATCGTCTGTTCCACAGAACGCCAGGATCTCACTCGGAAAAATTCGCGAGTCACAGGTGGAAATACACATTTAGATATAGTCGAGAAAAGTTAACGAAAACTACCAATGTAAAAGAAAGGATCCTGAAGTTCTCTATTGAGTAATGCATTCAAATTTATTCAACCGACTGGAACGAGCGATTCGGAGATGGATGTAATAATTATTAATTGTTCAGCTGTAGCACCCTTTCTGTGCCTAGCTGCCATGCCACACGAAGGAGGCACGAGGACTTGGATACTGTCAGGTCGCCCAAGTCTAGATTACATATTTGCAGTTACTTTGGTAATGCACGTTTGGTGCACAACTCTCATCCCACTTACACACACACACATAAAATAACGTGACCACGGCGGATCGCGGCGCAACAATGTTCATTTCACGTTCACAGCAATTTCCTTTGCTCACCGAGAGTTTCACAATAAATTATTGCATAAAATTAAGAAAACAACGGAACTTGACGCGCAAATTTCATCTATGTGGTTGAACACGATTAATACTACTTCTAAAAGCACTGCGCAGGTCTTATAATCCACTTCCAACCTGGTGTTACACAGTCTCACACAAAGGGCTCGGTCATTTCTGCAAAATTTTCCCCCATTGTTGTGGACGGCCGAACCATCGATAGTGTTGATGAGACTTTAGCGAAGTTTGGTAACCAGATGCCGTTTTCGACCTAATTCTGTACCGGAACGCGAATATCTACGGTTTCTGAAAGCAAGACCAGGCATGTAGCAGTAAGGGTTGTCCAAACTTAATCTGGACGATACAGTGCGGCTTAATTCACAGGAAAGCAAACAAACAAAGCACACACAGTCGGTTTTCATACCAGCAGACAAAACAGCATAATTGTTTATTCACGTATCGCCTATTGTTGATAAACAACCAAATGCTGAACTCAAGTCCGTTCGAAACAATTCCGCAAGAAAACATTTGGAGTGAAGCCGAATCGATCGTTTAGATGACTGCTGCCTATATGTTCACCAATAGTGCGAACCTCCAAATCGTTCAAACTAGACCTAATGTACTCTGGGAAATAGTTATTAAGGAGGAATTCAGATCATTTAGGAGACACCATTTTGTTGAACGTTTTACTCAGATGCCATCAGCATTAAACCATTATTGATTGTTTTGTTCCTTGGATCGCTTGGCTTCGTTTGGTAAACTTTAGGCTTCCGCTGTTGCTATTGCTAATGCGAGACAATGAAAGGTGAATATGCATCTGTTTTCATTTTCCCTGCTCCGTTGCACAGTCCTGACTGAACTGAACACAGAGTTTCAATGAAAAATAAAGATTTTGTTGCTTAGGCCCCAGATACCTTGAAGAAAATATACCTACACAGACGGGTCCAATCGAAAACAAGCAGAGTGGCGCCGGAATTAGAGCTGTAACCTGATGCGTAAGCGTAAGTAAGGATGCAACCAATCTTCGAGAAATACACTCATTTGCAAATCAATTTGGTTTTTACGAGAGACTCAACTAAATCTCTCGTTTATGATACTCTACCAGTGAATGTGCTGCACACAGGCCGTCTCATGTTTCAGTTGGCACATAAGGTTGACGGTACCTCGAGGACTACACCTACCTGATGAGCCCCAAGAACGGCGAAACCGGTTGTGGGCTGTCGAAGAGTTTTCAGCGAACTTGTGAGTAGTTTCCTCTATGAAGATGCAACCAGTCTGCTTCACCAACGACAAATATGACTTGACTTTTCCTGTCATGAGTGTAACAAATGGTGTTCGTCATGAACACCTGTTACTAACTTACTTGTTCAGTCATGTAATCCAAAATCTCTTGAGTGTCTACTTTTCCAGCCGGAAAACTTAATGATCTACAGTATGCGGACGATATCGCTTTATCTCGATCAAACTCTACTCAAACGCAAAAGAACAACCCAAACATTTTCGCAACTCGTTCACTTTCTGAGTATTCAGAGTTTAACGTTAGATCCCAAATTGGGGTGTGTAGGACAAGGAAACAAACTTGATGTCGCGCTGATGATCTCAGCTGTTGTTGATTGACGACACTGACAAAAGGCGAGTGCTAAACCTCCCCAAGCCAGTAGTGGTTTTAATCAGCCCAGGCCCATCACATTGGCTTGCCAATAAATTGCGAGGTCTGTAACCCTTCAGAGTGTCCATTACTGTACTTTGGCTTTCAGTCGGTGCCCTCAAAGCACCGTGCATATGCCGTTGGAGCACAAATTTGGCAATTTCTATGAATGATGAATGGTTTTTATCAACAGGTCAAGTGTTCGGTTACTTAGGTAAATAAGCTGAGCCAGCAGTGACTTTCTGTGCCACCTAATAGAATGTCTCATCTTGCCCCATTATGAAGTCTTCTATGAGTGGAAGACACAGAGCGTGATCTGAAGAACAAACATAGAAAGCTTAATGTCGTGTCTCTGGCGTGTACGTCCATCGTACTTACTAGAGACGCGGTCTATCAACAGCATGATCGTATCAGCAAAACTATTGATTATTCATAGTCCGCTACCAACCTATGATTTATGTGTCGTTCTATGGAACTGAATCACATCATCGACGTTCATATGTTGTGGAGACACGATGTTTGCAAAACTCATCCCAGCTGCTGCATTCCCGGTTGTTTTGTTCCCAGCAAACAAATGCATGGTCACCGTTTCTGTTCGCTGTCTGCTCATGTCGTTTGGTTTTCGCCTGCGGTTGGGCACCTCAGTAATCAGAGAACATTGTTTTGGTGCACTTAGCATGAATGATCTGCTTGAATCGGCTGCCGCACCTCTTTGAAGCAGAGCAGAAATTCGAGGGTTTCATTTAGTAGGCATTCGAAATTTCATAGGATAGACAAAGCCATGTGCTTTCAGACGCCGCCATCCATAAACAGCGCTCAACCGAATGTTGGTTCTATCGCGGGATATTACATCTGAATTCAGAACACCGAAGTTTCCGAGACCACAGTGTCCAGGGCTGACCTGACGCAGCACCGGCTGATAGCACGGTATAACATTTATGGCTGAACACTTCGAAAAATAGCCTGGCAGTCGCGCTTCCTGATGCCTGTTACCTTCTTATTCTGCTCTGCGGTCCTTTGAGACAGATAGGCTTGTAATCGAGTAAAAAAATACTACTGAAATATACACATGGATTTGTCACAGTACCCCAATATCAGTGGCTTCCAAGCGTTCTTCCCTTACGTAAGCCACTTTTGACATATGCTAGTCAGTCCTGTTGATGACCTTGAAGTCGGCTTGAATTCCACGACATTTCAAGCACTGAATCACAGTCAAGCTAGATAAATTCTTAAGGTTTCGAAAATCTATGGTAATCATGTGATCATTTCGAATAACTTCAGGTTCAACAATATTTGAAACTTCGGACAGAAACTCTCCATCTGGCTGTCAGCATTGTGGATCAATACACGTGGCTGAAGAAGAACATGAATCCAATAGATTACCAACTGGTCGGAATCACCGCCCTGTTCGTCGCCGCGAAATTTGTCGAGAGATTTGCGCCCTCATCGGCAACCTTGTGTTATCTAACGGAGAACTCTTACAAGCCAAGACAAGTGAGTACCGCCGTTGAATGAGCATGCTCTTTTCGGATGAAGTGACCGTAATGGGAAAGTATGTCCCACTATCCTTTTGGAATAAAGTGTACTTTGCTGCAAAAATTCCGTTCATTTGCCCAGCGGACTGTTCCATTATAAAAGTTAGACCAGACTCGGGTATCTTTTGTGGTAAATGCTTTATTCTGAAACGACTGTGCCGAAAGCATCGTCTAAGTGTTGTGGCTGCGTCCCAGTGCATTCAAGCTAGTTTTAAATCAGGAACTTTGAAAGTCCCTCCAACGGAGAAGCCTGATTTTAAGAAAATGACTCCTGATGAAACTGAAAACCAGTGTGCAGTTTTCCAGTTAGATTTTGGTCCACTATTCTACTCATCAGCAAGAGACAGGTACGAAGAAAATGGATTCTCCAGAAGTATCCCAGGAATGAAAAGTTGCCTCAACCTCCACTGTGGTTTTAAGGGAAATTCTCAAGCACTTTTCAAAAAGGTCAAAAAATCAAAGGAAATAGATGTTTTTGGGTACAGCTGATAAAATGAGTAGTGACGTTTTCAAAACCGGACAATGCTAGCTGAACACTGGTCACAAATTCATAGCCAGATAGGCGTTATTGTTGCTCCTTGTTCTTAGTTTAGGCTCAAATTGCAGTGGACAGATTCGAGCCAGAGTTCCTTTGTGTATGTTTGTGTTCCTCGATTTCAGTACCAGTAATTATGCATTATTTGCACGCCACGGCACCCCGGCGCTAATGAACGATATTTTGAGTGTTAGAGTAGCTAAGAAAACTGACAGGAAGTATTTTATAGACGTAACAAACTACTCACAATGTTGCTGGAAACTATTTGGCACTATGATAGTCTTGACCCTTCTTGAGGGTTATCGGGTTGGCTGAGAACATAATATATGATAGATTCAGTTTGATATTCCTGGGTGCATTTCTCTAAGTTAGTTTAGTTTACGCCACGCTTGGGTTTCAGCTGCCTCCGGTTACCGAACCCTCGAGGCCTACTGTGAATGCTGTTCCTCCTTGGATAACTGATTCCACCTTGCGTTTCCAACTGTATTTCCGACCCCCCCCCTGCTCGGTGAAGCCTCCAGTGGAAGATGAGCTCGTCAAGAGAATTCAAAAGGGCCAAGTCTTATCTGTTGTAATCCCTCTTGAAGAAAATCTCTGTTGGAGCAGAACAGAAAACACCTGCCGGTTCTCAAATAACCTGAGAAAACAATGATAGAAATGTCTCGTCACATAATACGGATCCCGTGATGGATGAATTGCCCTACATCTTGTTTAAATGATGATCAGCTGATCATGGCCAAATGATTAAGTGTTCAAACTACCGGCCGAGAAGTCACCTGTTCGAGACTTCCAGGAGCTTCGTGAGATGCGCACTACTGACGATTCCAAATAAGGATGAAACACGGTGCTTATAGACTCTTCGGCATAAATGAATTTCACTTACTGGACGAAATCTGCGTTTAAGATTTGGAATCTGTTCAGGCTATCAACAGTTTATGCCACTGTCCCAGTTTTACTGACAGCCTGTTATTTAGATGTGTCGCCAGCACCACCGATACACTGCGCCACAATCAGATGAACTCCTACTGAGAGGAATTGGTCTCAGTTAGACTATAGACTGGGTTTTGATACAGCCCCGACATCATTTGCCAGAATTCGACAACTGAGATACCGACTGAAGTTTGGGACAAACCAAAGTACGACTACTCACTATTGTTCTAGCTCCTAATCGCTATCATGGCTGTTTCTTTTACCACCACATACGAATGTGAGCCCACGATAACCTATCGTGTTTATAGGCTGTTACTAGAGTTTCCATAAATGGAAATTCACTAGTTCCTCATGGTTCTGAAAGAGACCATTTTACGAAGGAAATATAGTGTATCAGTGTGTATGGATCGCGAGTATGTACTCAATGTTTTACTTTCGAACGAATATTCCATGAGACAGAATTAGCTACCCCCGGGAATACTTCTGACATACCCTACTCAAGCACGGCGATTGACTACAATATGTGCACAGATCGCGATCCATCATCGGCTCCAGAAGCGCCCCCCGTAAACCATATGGGAAGCAAGCTACGCCTTTACACAGGGTGGCGTCCAGCTGCATGAGTGCTTGCAGGCACTGTCTATACGCCTCCGAATTTATCCTCTAAAATATCTGTTTGGAAAGATGGTGCAATCAAAGCCTTTGAAGTTGACAACCGACTGGGTTATTTTATCTGTCTTATTGGAAGGCTGAATAGGTGGAAGAGAAGTTGGCTCCCGACGTACTGACTTCCAAACCCACTAGTGTTGCGTGGGAAGTTGATCTTCTTTCAGGTACTCACCCTACAGAATCCTTTTATCATTACGTTCCAACTCAGCCATCTGAGCTTGGTGACTTAACTTAACTCCAGAGCACCATTTTGATGCTCGTTCTGGTTTGTAAGTCTGAGTCTGATTTGTAAGTCCGAAAGCACCAGCTAAAGTAAACCGCCTTGTTGTAAGCCAGTCTTAGTGTCGAACTCTGTAGCAACCTTGCCGCTTACCCTGGAACAGGTTTTCAGTAACATGTAACAAGCCTTAATAAAGTTCATCAGGTTTGTGAGGACACCGCCAGCTAGGGGAACTGTTCACAGTAACTCACAACCAGTAGATCTATTATTGCACTGTTGATGATGGCCATGATACAATTCAGAAGGCATATTCACTAATAAAATTTTTTAGTATTGTGGACAGTGGTGGGTCGCAACACGTATAAAAATAAATACAATGCAAAATGGAATAAGTTAAAAGAGGGATTTATCGTCTGTGGGAGTTCCTTGGTGGAAGTCCGGACGGCGGGAACGTGTTTTCTCCGCAGTATGGCTGCTACAGGTGTTCCATAATTGTTCGTGGACCTGTGGATAGTGGTTGACTTTCTGCTCCCTGAGCGCGCGCGAGTCCGTGTGTACTGACTGTGTTCGGTTTCCTTACATGCAGGTCCGTTTGCGTGTACGTGGGTGTGCCAGCACATGAGTTGGTACTACGCTCACTTGACGGTACAGACAATCGATGTCCGATGAGTCACCTTGATGTGACGTGGCTTGTGAGTATAAAAAAAGACATGTCTCGTGATCCAGTGAGCGACTTTGGGCTGAACAGTCGAGTATGTGAGTGACTGAGTAGCTACAGATTCAGCTCAAAAGTCGGTGAAGCGTGCTGTGGTTGGCTGCATGAACTTGAGATGCTGCATTCATATTCTCTATCAAGAGAATATCTGGCCCGCACGAATTTCTCGGGACAAAGACCTCCTTTGTTAGGACTTGAGCGTGTATCTTGTGTTTGAAAAAGATGTAATAGGAGAGGTCTAACATCAATTAAGATGACAACTGTCACATGCCATTCTACCGTGCTTTAGGGGGTCGCTTGCAGAGGCTTCAGTCCTAGGATGGAAAAAACGGCTTTTGTACGGGTGCGGAAAGTTGTGAGATGTAGGAGATATAGACCTAAGCAAGATATCTTCTTCTACAGTGGTCTTACGATCATCTTGATCTCCAATTTACTTGGCACTTCACAGGTGACGTCATATTGTATTGAGGCTAGAGTGACCCCAAGGCCCCCCGCTAATCAGCGGGGGGTTCAAAAATCGCTCAAGATATTCTGTCAATCAGTTAGCCCTCTGGTCAAAGTTGTTGAGAAACTACCCATTTGCTCTATGTAACAAGTACTATTTGAAGGTCTTCAAAGCAACTCACTGATAGTCTGCCTGAACCAACCGGTCACCTGGATAATCAGCGTTTTATTCGTACAATCTCATGTTTATTGCACCAAAAAGTATCTGCTGATTCTCCGGGAGATCGGGTGACGCTATTTTCATGCAATTCATTTGTCAAGCATCAAAGTGAAGTATAACCCTGTCTCACAAAGATGTCTGACCCCCCACTTTTCCGCAATCCGAACTTCTATAAGATTTATACCTTTCAAATGATGAGGTCTGTCGGGCGCGCCTGAAAGACTTCATGATCGTCTTTGGGATACCATGTCAGTAAATGTCTTCTGGAGGACTGAATTATGGTGCTGGTAGCTACGAGCTGATTAGGAAAATTGAAACTGATAGGCCTGTAACCGTTTTCACAGTGATAACCAGACACAAGTCGGTCAGATGTATGGTGCTTTTTATCCCCTCATCCGTCAATTCAGATATTCCAGTCATCCGTTACTATCAGTCTCTGGTCTTGAGGTCTTACTGATCTGCTGCAATTGTTGACAGAAGTCTTCCTTCATTGTTGGCTCCGGTATAGATGTTGGACGTAAACCACTATTACCGCTAAGTTTGAAGGACGGCCTTTAAAACGAGTCGACACAAGCCTTTGAAAGTATATGCAACCACCTACGGCAGCTGCATCACTGTGCAGACCCAAGTTGTTCCCTGGTCGACTATGATAAAACGACTAACAGTTGTCTGATCCAAGAACCTGGATTCTTACGTACAAGAGCGTGGCAACCCCAAGTTAATTCCTTGTCATCCCAACCGCTGGGTCGACAAACGGTGCATCGCTTGTTAGGACGCTTAAAACGGAAGAATTTGCATGTTAGGGGTATTACAGTTGAATGTTTCTTGCAGCTTTTGATTTGAGGTGCACCTCCGGCCTTTGCACAACTAAGCGCAAGTTCACATTAGTTTAATTATTCAGCTGGTTTTGCTGTGCACGCAGCATAAAATACGATAAATCACACCAGTTGCGGTGCCATTTCCCCCTAAATATCAAAAACATTTTGGTTGAATGTGGACGAAACACTTGTGTACTACTCAGTGAATTTTCTACATTAGCTTTGTAATTTTGTTTGATCATTTTGTGGTCACTTAATTGTTGGACCCAGAAAATGTCCGAAAAGTGTGGTAGTCTACGCAACTGAACACATGAGTCGTTGCTACGCTCACTAGACGGTACAGACAATCAGTGTCAGATGAGTCACCCTTACGTGACTTAGTTCGAGTGTAAAAAAAGACGAGTCTCTTGGTCGAATAAGCGACTGTGAGCTGAACAGTCAAGTATGCGAATGAAGGGATAGCTACAAACACATGATCCACATCGTCAGTGTGACGATTTGAGATCCAAAAGTAAATATATCCACTCAGTCCACTGGAGCCGACTTATGTTCCAGCTGCTACTGAGTGGGAACCTGGGTTCACCGCTGGACGAACAACTGGCCCACCTTCAACCAGGTCATGGCGCCTGATACCCACTTTCACTCTTGTGAAAATGCCTCTGCTGCAAGAAGTCAGTGAATAGGCCTTCTTTAACAGAGACTATATGGGATCATCTAAGTATGGTGCCCAGACCGACATTATTCACTGCCGATGACATCCGCTCATTACCATACTGAGGCGATTGGAGGGGATATGCAAGGATATTGGAAACCTGGATTATTTACTTCAAATTAAATGGAAGCTCCGAATTATGCATATCCATGAACACCTTATTACCCAAATGTGTAAACCATACGATGCAGTTTACAGTTAGCAATGTCTCATAAAGTAGCACTCCAGTCAGTTGAATGCTTTGGAATTCTCCAAAGGCGGCTTCCAAGTGTAAAGTGTCTCTTCTTGACCGACAACTATATTACAGTACTACTTTCTAGATGAATGTGAATTTTGAATCGGCATGTTACCTGTAAAATGGGCAAACTTGTATGAATAAATTTCATATTGGAAGTACGCTTAAGAAAGTATATGGGGTCCACAGTGACTTACAGGTATCACTACTCAGTCTACCAACTCAGAATGTTTGGTCTACAGCTCCACACAAAAGTTACAAAGAAGCTTGTAAAAATTGTCCGACCCCTCGCTTCCGAGTACTCCCACACTTTTGTGCAGTATTCAACGAATGCAGGCCAGATTCTAATTCCGCAGAGAAATCAAACAGCTCTTTTCGTCCCTATGAAATCCACCTCAAAATGTGCTGTATTCTTTATATTATCATCGTAAAGAAATGGTTCAATTGTATAATCTCAGTAAGCATCGACCAAATGTCGGATGATAAGGCCACCTACAGTACAAGAACATGTCTTCTAGATTTGTACCGAATGAATCGAACAACTCATAGACGTCCACCAAAATCCAGATATGTTATTGATCAGGTATTCATTTGAAACGCTTGTGTTTATCCCATTTATCCAGGTGCTTGACTTCGAACACAGTCTGCTTCGCAAACTCGACTTTGATTTGACAATTCCGCTGCCCCATCATTTCCTAACACGTGCCGTTCTCGCTTGTTCCGATCTGACCACAATAGAAAAAGCTAAGGTAAGCTTCCCTATTAAAGGTCAACTCACATGTTTTGTGACATGATAATTAGTGACCTCAAAGAAACAGCTGAGATTTGAAAATTGTACTACATAATTCTTGCTCAAAACAACTTTCAAAGTAGTGCACATCCTGCAGCGTTATTTCTGGTGTGGGGTCGACTTTAGCATGCTGGTTTATCATCCACCTTCACTCCTGGTAACAATCAAACTTCATCCCTACAAAGTACAAAAATTACGGTGGTGTTCATTGGTATTTTCTTGGTGTACGCTTTGACTCATCTTACTAGTCATAACTGGGCAAGTTAGATATCAAACCTTATGTCGATATATTCCAAACATTCCACTTTTTCTAATCACTAGTTATACACGCACTTGTCGTCAGTGAAGACCACAGGAAGAGCAACGGAAAACTCTCTCAGTTACATTTAGGAAGCCAATACTGCGGTTACAGAGTAGTCACTGTGTGGTCGAATGTTTTGCTGACGTCGATCGCATTCTGCTATTACACACCAAGCTGACCACACTGTCACTAAAATGGAGCATTAAAATGCAAAAGTTAGAATAATGGTCCCCAATATGTTGAAATAAGACCTGAATACAGTATGGGTGGGCATCAACTGATCTAGAGTGGTAGCGTTAACAGAAAATCCAGATGTAGCGGCCCAAAGGCGATAAAACTTTTCAAAAGATATTTATTGAATGACCATGCACAGAAAACAGGCTACCTAGAATTCCGATTACCACGTTACTCCCACCCTTGGCCGACAAAACCATAATGTCGGTGTATTTTGGCATCTAAGATCCGAAAGCGCATGTTTAACGCTCCTACGTGGTGTTGAGTAATTACAGAAGAGGCATGTAGCCGTGGACGATTCACAAAACGTTCTAAGGAGTACCGAATTCAATGAAATTAAAAACCAATCCTTTAACTAAACAGGCTTTGGAGATAAACATTCAGACAGACCACAGTAGCTTCAGCCTAAAGAATGCCCATCTGCTTTATTCATAAAAAGGTAGATGAGTGAGCTGAGAATATTCGAGTAAGAGGTTTGTCATAAAAAAATAGTGCAAGGATAGTACAACAATGTTTCGCGAGGCTATGTTGTGAGGCTTCCTTCAAGTAGGCTGGTACCAAGTTCCGTTCGATTAAAACCACCACTTTCGGGTCGGTTAGCAGATGGATACTGTCCTCATGATAGCATGACTCGATTCCTCTGATAATCAAAAAGTGAACGCACAATCACCCACCGAGCTAGTTGCACCCATTTTGGAATCCTGATTTTGCGGTCTATAAGTGCATATTACCGCAAAGTTCTGCATTTGGATAACGTACAACTGTATGTGGTGCGATAAATGACCGGGAATTCGGCTTCTTGTAATCAAGGAACCCAGGTTTGATCGAAATTCGAAAACACATTTATTCGGTTTTCAAGTGCAATGCCACATGACCGAGGCTCGAGTACATAAAAACTACCGAGTTGCAGAAGCCTAGACAGGAGCAGTCAAGGCGATGTTGATTTCGAAGTACGAACCTTCCGGTCAGTAATTTAGCGCCCAAACGGCAGATATCCCTACACATATGGAAAAAATCCCTCCACTTCTAGGTTTCAAAAAAAGCCAGAACGGTGGGAAAATCGTGGATCGTTTTGTGCATCCTGAAGGAGCAGTATGCTAGTATGACAGTTTATTTTAAGCTTCAACACGACGAGAGATGGCAGACTACAGTGAAGGAAGGATACCGACAAACTTCCCATCCTAGTTCTTCACTACCTTGTCAAAAGCCTCCTTGAAGTCAAGGAAAACAGCGACTATTGGTCATGTATTCACTTGGCCCTGTCAGAATATCCGAGTTAGTAAAAAATGTTAGCAGTTCCCTACAACCAGGCCGAAATCCTGCTGGATCCTTGACAGTTTTCATCTCACGTGCCCGAGTTAGGTGTGAGTATTTTGAGATCCCTTAGCTTATGTATGCGCGCCAGTAGTGTATTGCCGTAGTTGTCTCTTCCAAGTAGCGATCAAAAGTCTTCTGAAGAAGCTACTCGTGCAATATTACGTAGTAAGCTTTGATAAGTTGTTGTTATAAATTTCTCTGATACCAGCGTTTGAGCTAATTTTTTCATCGGGTGAATTTACCGAAAACTCACACTGGGCAAGTACATGATTCAAGTCAGCGCTACACTTCAAAATGAGTTGTTGGCAAGACATAAATCTTGCCACCGGCAGCTTCTGCCGATGTGATCAGTTGGGTTCAATGGCTTCTCAGCATTCGCAGCAGGTCAGGCGCCTAAACTAAGTGTACAAGGCTCAACAAGGCGCTAACCACTACCGATACGTTTTGTCACCAAGCTAAGCTCACAAGCAAGATGTGCGTTGGGTCAACCCAGGGGATCTAATCCAGTGCTTAATTTTCTTGATATTGCCATTGCGTTGAAGATTTTCACGATGAGTGAGAAGCTGTTGATGGAATCTGGTTGATCTGTGTATAAGTTGACACTATAAGCGAAAAGCGAATAATATTTCCATTAACATAAGTTCTTAGAGAGGTGAACAGGCGAACAGCCCAAATTAGGTTGTTTTTGCATCGTCTGAATGATATTACAGCATGTTAACATGTTATGTGCGTTGTTACGTGCTGTGTTCGCTAATGGGTCAGTTCGGATAATATAACGATATGGACATCATAAAACTCCAAGAATCGAGTGGCGTTTTATTCTGAAAAGTCATGTCAGCCGTAATCAACCGTTCTCACATGCATCGGACGGTTGAACACTCAAAGGAATTTTTAAGAGAAGCCAATTATATCAATAAGTTTACTTTTAATCTTTCTTAAAAAGGCCAGGATGTATTCCCGTTTTGTCACAGATTCTGATGGAATGAACGGCGCACAAAATGTAGACGTAAAGCCGTTCTGTGCAAACACTCGCTTTTCTGTAATCTGTAATAGCAGAAAAGATATGACAGTGAAAACCCCGCTATTCTACAATGATCCGTTCAATTATCCAGCTGAAATTTCAGACCATACGCTTGAGTGATATACCTTAAACCGAGCAAACGTGGTAGTGAGCTGTCAGCCAGTTGTCATCATCCTTATAAGTGGTGTCACCTTGTTGCCTGTGTGTTCAGGATACTCTATTGTAAAAAGCTGGTCATCTTTGAGTACTTGAGGATGTTATCTAATGAATATCACTCTGCAGAATGCGCGTACTCAGCACGTTTTGGCTTGGGTCCTCAGGATAAGTTTTCATTTACGCTGGGGACCTAATATGTGATGTCGAAACGTATTCGGAAGCCGCTCAGTCCCCGTGGTGTGTACATGAAGACGGTCCCAGAGTCTGAGGAAGATTCGAAAGAAAATTCCGGTCGAACCGCTTGCTTGGCTGTTTGCTATTTGTCTTTGCAGTTTTTACCACCGGACGATGTACATCTAATAGTTATCGTCTTCTGATCGTTTTGCTCCTTAGCCGGTCGTTTCTGTGCCGTAATTTAAAAACCAAACACAAGCAACCTTGTGGGTAGTGCGTTACGAACAAACACGTACCTTTGGACGGGTCCACTTGTCCCTACCAACCGATGAAAAACTCAGCAGATAACACGGCTGAAACGTTTTGTTTATATGTCATGGTAAAAGAAGGATAGACTAAACAGACCTCACATTTTTTTGCATGTGATTTTTAGGTATTTCAGTTAGGTGAGATTTCTTCGTTCCACGGTACTTGCATAAATAAGCACGAAGCTTTTGTTCAACCTAGTGGCGTTGCCGACTACATGGTAGGTAATGCGCTGCTTGGATTTTTGTGGTCGGTGGGTCTGTCCATTTTTTTCAGTGAAATTTCACGCTTGTTAGTATAAAAGAAGCTCAGGGCAATGCAAGACGCATGTTCCCCAGCCAGTTGTGCCTAAAATCTCCTAAAAAAGACCTTTATCACCGTTTTTTTACTCGTCTGGAAATTTCTTGTCGTTTGAGGCACATCAGTCTGTGGTGCGTGAAATGCGATTCTTCTACCAGGATGGCGATCGGCGACCATGGAAGAGAATATTAAGGACTGTGGGACACCCGATTTTTTGCGATAAAGAGGAACCTGAAGAAGGAAGTTCCAATGCCGGAAACAAACAGCATAGTCACTAGTTGTCATGGCTTCCGTTGGAACGAGTGAAAATTCAGCGTGAGCAACAACAGAGGTTACGTCAACATAAGTATTTGAAAAGATACAGCGTTCAAGTGTTATCCGACTTTCTAGCTAGTATGCAGTTCCGTACATCCAATCGCACCTCACGAAAACCAATAAGGCAACGTGTAACTGCTCGCTGGAATGAGTCACGCGAGCAACTTTGCTCACTTACTGTCGAAAAGTATAGCTAAGTGACGCAGTAAAAAGTCCAGGATAGCTTGAGTTCTGGTGACTGACTGAAGCATATGAAGAATAGAATGTAGTATGTCCAGTGAACCGTAATCCAAGTTTAAAAAATTGTGTGAACAACCTTCCGGAAATTCGTCAGCAGACTAGTATGAGATCTGAGCAAATTTCTAACAAAACATCATATAAAAATAGTATCGATGTAGATCTGGGGACCACTTTGTGGCCAGTCATTTAGTTTGATTAACTAGGTGCAAGCATAGAAACGATAGACATTTTCAACCTGTATTTCAAATATCTCGTTTTTTCTGACCCTTCAGTTTTTCCTTCTGCCAAGGGCCCATAATTTGCATTTGTATACTTTTAAATGCATTTCAACGCTCAAAATGCTCGTGAGGAATCACGCAACTCACCAGTTAACATTGGAATGAGAGCCAAACAGATTGTGGTATGATACGTTCGGACAAGAATGGCAGATGTCGGCTGAGAACTTGAATGAATTTGTGGTAGAGAATAACCAAAAGCATTGTTGCTTTTATTCTCTTTTGGATGACATTATTTTTCTAGGACTTTTCAACTTAAAATGCCTCAGACAATGTGATGTAAAATTACATAACTCGACTGCACCATTCAGGTGCGGATGTATCTTTGAAGTGTCTTATAAATGAAGAACTAACTCGACTGTATACATACTTGTCAACTGTTTACGCTGACAGTTGCTGCCGCTTCTCAGCCACTTTGACTGAAACTACCAGTGAGAAAGCAAAGTAATGAGTCAAACGCCATGTGAACCTAAGTTGGAACCCCGGATTAGCGGAAGAGACCTAGTTGGAGGCAGAAACTACTTTGCCAATGCAGCGGCAAGACCCTTACCGCAGACCCTTGAAGAGTGAGCGCTCCAGTGGGCGCGAAACCAAAGTATGACCGCTACAATGCTCAACTAGACCCCTGATATAGTCACATACGGAGGAATTGGTGCAATGCCACAGAAGAAACCAAGATTGTAGCGACCAGCCAGCAGTCGGTCAGTGATAATTTTTCACAGCTGGCTATTGCCAACTTGCTGCTGAGACAAACACATAAGAACCCGAGGCAAACGTCAATAGACAGTTTATTTTCTGCTGCATCGATATAAAAGGGAGTACCAGGCGAGCTGAAGATCTTCATTAGTATGCAATATGCACACGGATTTTACAGTAAGCGACGTCTTCTGGAACTTCTTAATGGGCTTACTTTCAAAACGAATCTGTCTAGGCGCGCAAGATGACAAGAATTTAATTTCACGACTTCAGACGTCATCTACGTTTCTATGGCAGGATGAATGGATGTAGGCTAGTAATTAGGAACTTCCTTAAATGTATACCTCTTGCGTTCAAATTGTTTGTGGCGTGAATCATTGAGAAATGTACAAACCACCTCACGTCGTTCGCCCAATACATAATTAATGCTACCAGTGAATGGCATATGACTGCATGCATTTTTATCTAAAAGGCCTGGCAAATCAGGAACGACCAATAAAGCAAAGAATGCGTAACGAGTTTGAAGAGTTTCTAAATTTTCCAGGTCTTTAGGTGAAACCCTTCTTCAGACAGTCATGGGGACATTCGGTCAAAATCGAACAGATGGTCGCTGCGTGACCTTGAACTTCCGGAATTGATTTCTCTGTTTTCTAGAATTGTTCAAGATGTCC